AGCAGGAGCCCTGGGGGCCTTGGAGCAACGCGCGGTGACACCGTCCAGTTGTCACTCCCGGAAGACCAGTTCCAGGCTGCTCGGGAGGTCAGTTTGCACGGCCTACAGCCTGTGCTGCGCCCAGGAGAGCCCACGCTGGCCACAGTCCCGCCAAGCACATGGGGACAGCGTGAGGCAGGTTGGCTGGAAGCACCCTGCACGGTGGTGCCCCGGGACAGCAGCCCCTTGTGGATGGTGGCTTTGGCTTCATCCGTAAATCTGAAAAATGATTCTCCTGTAAAGAGCGACCATGTGAAGATAGCGGTAGGGCGTTCTTTGGGCTCTTCGGTCCCTTCCAAAATTGTCCGATGGGCCACGTAACGAGTAGGTCGTTCCCCAGTGCTCAGAGGAGACATGGTCCCGCCGGGAGCCAAGCATAGTGAATTAGGCTGAGGTTCGTGTGGCTGCTGGGGGTGGGGGTAGTAGGAGGGAGACTCAGTTTCTACTCTTTACCTTGCTGTGGTGTTACTCGTGTATCCCAGGGGTGACTCTCTCTGGTCAGGAGAAACAAAACATCTTGGTTTTTAAAAATTTACCAATGTTTGCTGGTGGCCAGCCTGTGCCCTGGGGCCTGAGTGTCTTGGGCCGAGCGGTGTCCCAGCCCTCGAGGTCCATTGGGGAGGCTCCTGGGGGTGAGGCAGCTGCACCCCCAGCTCCAGGGTCCTCATACCCACCACAGCTGAGGGCAGTCCAGGCGGGCTGCTGGGAGGCAGCGGCAGCTGAGCACCCTGTCGGAGCGCTGCCTGGGCGCTGCTCTCAAGCCCTTCTAGTAAATTGAGATACAGGCTAGCAGGTGGCGTGGAGATTAAGGCAGCTGGGTCCCACGTGGCTGACTGTGTGGTTCGAGCCCTGGATTCGACAGCTTGAACAATACAGTAAGGCGCATGCGCGTGCATGCCCAAGGTCCCGAGGAGAATGGAGGAGGAGGGAGTGCTGCAGGGCTGAGCCCCGAGACCGTGCTTGCTCGCTTCTCCCCCCCTCTCTGCCTCATTCCGATGAGCGCACGTACCCTATAGTAAAACGGACAGAAGAAAACAAAATAAACGGAGGTGCGTGCATATTTTATGAAAATTAGAAAGCGTTGGCAGCTCGGCAGGACCATGGCCACTGTTGGGCTGCAGCCTGTCGGCACCCAGAAAGAAACCTCCCGCCAGCCGCTGAGGCACCAGCCTGCCTCCGTCTCCCAGGGCTTGCCGTCTGGCTGCCATGTCACTGCGGTGATGCACGCGTCCGAGGCTCATCGTGCTGTACCTGCGCCACTCACTCCTTTCAGGCTGCATAGTGCTCCACTGTGTGGATGCAGCAGTTTTCACTTCATTGCTAGAGGGTGTGCACACTTGTCGGGGAGAGCGGGAGAGGGGTGAGGGAGAAAGCACCCCCGTGGGGGTGATCGGGGTGCAGTCCCTTCTGTATCTCTCCATCCTTTCGGGATTCGGGGCACACATGCATGCCTGGTGTGTTTTCTAAGTTGCCGGGACTGGGATTCAAACCAGCAATTGTGGGATCCATTCAGCAATTGATGGACATTTGGGCTGTTTCTTTTTTCTTTTTTTTTATTATTTTATTTATCCATTCATTTATTTTAATTTGACCAGAGAGAGAGAGAGAGGGAAAATGAGAAAGCAAGCTACCAGGTTCGGGACTTGAACCATGGTCAACCATGTGGGAGAGTCCATTGGCTTAACTACCACACCACCTGCCTGCCCCTATGTGAGCTGTTTCTTTTTGCCTACTATAAATACAATTTTTAAATAATCATTAAATTTAATTAGTTAATTAATTTTATTTTAACTTGGCTAGAAAGAGGGACAGGAGGGAAAGCTAGAAAGCAAGTCTCCAGGTCCAGGATTCAAACTGTAGTTGGCCACGTGGGAGTCCAGCACCTTAACCGCCATGCCACCTCCTATATCCAATTTATTTATTTATTTATTTTTTGCAGGGGGAGGTTTTTGCTATAGGGTGCGTGTACTCTCCAGAAAGACAGAGACAGAAAGTGAGAAATCACCCCCCAGGGGGGATGGCCACACCGCAATTCCTTCTCCTCCATTCGCCTCTCGGGATCTTGGGCACGCACGCACACGCGCCCGGCGTGAGTTTTAGCCACCGGGTCCGGGACTCGAATTGCGGTCCACTATGTGGGAGTTCAGCAACAGAGCCATTACGCTAACTGCTGGCCCCTAACTGATGTTTTTTTTTAAGAGAGATTTTTGTATAGGACACGCACACTCACCAGAGAGACAGACAGACAGAAAGATGGAAAGTGAAATCACCCACCAAGAGGGGTGGCCACACTGAAATCCCTTCTCCACTCTTCTCTCAGGATTTTGGGCACACACACACCTGCCCAGTGTGAGTTTCAAGCCACCGGGTCCAGGACTCGAATTGTGGGAGTCCAGTGATGTCACCATTATGCCATCTACTGGTGCCCCTGCATCCAATTTTTTTAAAAAATTTTTTCATGTACTTATTTTTTTAATGATCATTATTGTTCTTTTTTTTTTTTTTTTTTTTTTTTGTGA